GTGGATTGATTCTATGGCAGTATAGCATTCAGAGTTGTAATCATATGAATTGCAAAGAATTTGCCTCTTTAAGATGAAAATTTACAAAATGTCCGAATGACATCTTAGCTTGACGACGGTCACTCTGAAGGTAATGATTTGGCTCATTTTGATCTCAGTTTGATCTCTCAGGAACTTATAAGCCACATATGAGCTTAGAACTTATAACCTCTCCAAGCTACTCCAATGCTCAGATTTTGCAGCGATAAGACACGTCCAGCAACTTTTACAAGCAATGTATTCACCCCATAACGAACAAACCGAACCTGTCCTTTCAAACGCATTCTAGAATAGGCAGATCTGAATGTGGTACGAAAATTTTGCGATATGAATGCATAGCAAATTGGATTAATGCACGATTGACAATATGCCTGCAAACAACTCAACATTAACGATAACTCGTCGAAGTATCTCATTCCTATCTGTGATCGACAATTTCTATCGAATACATGTGAAATAAATCCTTGAAAAAAACAAAACCCTCGAGAGGATTGCACGAATTTGGTGAAAAAACTCGAAAAAATTCTATTGAATTCAACAAGAAAACTCAATTATCACGGACAGCGTCAGTCAATCATCGATGATTGATTGATGGAATGCGTTTTTCAAATATTTAACAAACCAATTTCGATAATTCATTCTCTCTCATATCAAATGCTAGTGTGTGTTATGATAAACTTACCAAAGCATGAAAGCCCATTCTCATGTATTTGAGTGTTGGTGTATTTGACGGTCGACATATATAGCCGAAACTCGTCAAAAATTCGTCAACTGAAGATTCAAGTATAAATGCATGAAACATCTGACATAGCAAGTATGTGAGCAATTTTGAACAATCTCATAGAAAAGAAACGAAAAATTTTCAAATGCCGCAATAATGACTCGCAATCAGTGCCATTTACCAATAATTCGGTAAAGAATTGGTGGTTTTGTCTATGAGCTCAAGTAGCTCTATGCAGCTGTGGTCATCGAAATTTCTTCAATTCATCTCAAAATCAGATGCTAGATGATCTTATAGAATACAGGATCATTTGTGATCTCCGAGATCATAAACTGCACTGTTCACGACGTACTCAACATGGGCTATCAGTAGAATTCCTACATCATTAGCTCCAAAGAATTATTAGTCAAGGAATCTGCAATCTCGAAATGAAACCAACCTATCGAAGGTGTCCAACACACGGTGTACATTACAACAATTGAGATCAGCATTTGAACGATCTGAAAACCGTTAAAACTTTGTAAGTTGTCAAATTTCGCGTGAAAAACAACTGCATACAGTTGCAGCTGTGAGGAGACACCTCGACTGAGGGTAAATGCATTCAGAAATTTGCAGGTGTGTTCCAAAATTCACAATCGTGCTCGCCTGCTCAAAATGAAGAAAGAAAACACAGATTCAATGCGGCGAA